ACAGTGATAACATTTCAGGTGGACAACCTTTCAGATTGTGCAAGGGGAGTCTGGAATAGAATCAAGAAGGGTGGAAATAAGACAGGAGTACACTAAAAAGATTGGTAAACCAGAGCAGTATTGTTTATGGGTTTTGTAAAGGAGGTAGAAGTGGGATTTTTGGGATTGCCAGTCAGTAGGGATGGTTGAAGAGGGGTGATCTCTGAAAAGTTGAGGCTAAAGACAGTCCTGAAGCCAATGGCTTGATGTTCTACAGTCAGGGTATGGTCCAGGCAGTGGGAGGACCGAGTGCCAAAGTGTTGGCATTCTGCCTCTGCTAGGTAGAGCCATGCTTTGTCCATCACCTTTCAAAATGCCGTAATCAATATCTTGAGAGATCCACTGGTAAGACCAGAAAAATACATCCTTTAAGAAGTACTTAATGATAGATGCGTTCAGCAAGAACATTCATTGGCTGGTGAGGGGAAATATCCAAAACACCAGGCATCGTTCTTGTTATCTTGGTGCTTCTATGAAGTTTACATGATTGCATTGTGGGTTATATTTAGGGTTTGTCAAGCATTCTGCTAGAAAATAATCCCTTGAATAGAGGGAGTCTCATCACTGTATACCCATTTGTTTTTGATCAAACCCTATGTAGGTCAGCAAAATGAATTAAGGGATAAAAGCTGCAGACAGAAGCAGATCAAGTGATGCCTGAGGTGTTCCTGCTGAACACAGCCATCCATTCTCTCACTTGTTTAGTTCTGGATAGAGGCAGGGAATGTTGAGAGTACAAGTCACTGTATTACTTCAGTAACTTCGTTAAAACTCATGATCAGTTCAGCAATTATTACAGCATTCAATGATTTATGTACAATCCCTGCAGGGCAGCTACAGAATGAAAGGAGGTATTAGGACATGAAGGGAGGTCGTTGTGTTTTTTAAATTGAGAAATTAAGGCAGGAGGTCAAGGACAATGAGATAGGACACCACTTAATTTGAAAGGAATAAGGATAGAACAGGTATGTTAGGTGGAATTTAGTGTCCTGTGCTGAGGAGGTGGCATTAGATCTGGGGGACACTGTCAGAAAAGGACCCCATTCACTTCCTTCCTCAGCCCTGATGAAGTCCAGGAGGTCTTGTGAATGTCCTTCCCTCTCCAATGCCCATTTCAAGATTTCATTGCTAGCTGCTTCATGTATTTAACCAGCAGTGGGCAGTGAAATGGGCAAGCAGGAAGCTGAAAAAGCAAGACCTTTTGGGATTAATTAAAGGCTTCTGGGGGGAGGCTGGGAGGTGGTGGGTAGGCCTCTTTCAAAGGCTGTCAGAGTGTGATTGAAGGACCCAGCATTAAGGAGGGGAGGGAGCTGCTGAGAGCCACATAGCTGCCCATGCTCGCCTGTGGCCTGGATCCCTCAGCAATCTTATTACTCGCCCTGGGATATTGAAGGCAGCTACCACTGCTCCCTGCAGCGTCTCATTGAGCAACAACTCTAACGGAGGCAGTTTCTGCCCCCAGGTCAGGAACCCCAGTGAGGACCTACCGGTGGCCAAGATTGGTATTTCTTTGCAAAAGGAGCCAATGTGGGACTCCTGCCAGCTCTCTAGATGGTGGGTAAACACCTCCTCTCCCATCAGCTGCATTAAACCCTGCTCAATGTGGCAGAGAGATGATTCGACGCTTGGGTTTAAAAAGCCTGAAGACTGTGGAGATAACTTTAACCGAACTCACCCAGCAGCAAGCTGGTGGAATCAAATCAGATGTCTGATGTATGCATCACCAGATTTTATTTTCCTTTGGCTGCCTTCCTATAACCAAACAATGCATCGAGTAATACTATGCAAGAGCAGCACAGCACAACTGGACCAGATTTTATTTCCAAAAGTATATTCTGTGCATTGTGCTAATGTTTGCTATCACTGTGTTTTCTTGTGACTGGAAGGCTTAATTCATGGAGCATCACCGACTGGTTCTGATCTGGGAGCAGATCACTCAGCCTGTACCAGCTCTCTGGAAAAGCAATTAGCTAATACACATCTCACCCTTTCCCCACAACCTTGCAAAATTCCTTCTATTCAGTTGCTTATTCAATTAATTTTTTGGAAGTCATGCTCAAATCTGCTTTAACTGCACTCTCAGACATCACATAGGAGAATTTCCTCACTCACTGCAGATAATATTTTCCCTTTCCTCCCTGCTAGTTCTTTTGCCAATTGCTGTCAATCTGTGCTGTAGTTCCTGATCTATCTATCCGGCAATAATTTTTCTCTAAGCTGTCTAGATCCCTCATGAAATTCCATCTAAACTTCTGTTCTCTCCCAGGAGTACAGTCTCAGATTTTCTACTCATGTTGATGATAACCTTTTTTCAAACGTTCACCTCCTTCCAAAAATATGGTATGCAGAATTGGACATAATGGGCAGAATCTTGTAAGTGTCTGAGCAAAGTGGGCTATGGTGAGATGCGAGACAGAACCAGACAAGAAGTGCGACGAGACTGATCTTAATGTTGAGATCATCTTGCTGTATCTTTGACACCTTTCACAAGCGGCCTGGCGGGATTTTCACCAGAGAGCAGCAAGTTGCCATTTGACAAATGCTAACATCTGGCCCTCCTCCCAGTCTCTGTAACCATGTCTGTGACAGCAATGTAACCTCTAACCAGTTGCAATAAAATATAACAGACCCTTTGATTTAGACCAGGAAATGCTTTCCCTCCAGCGCACTAGACCCAAGCAAGCCTGGTAATTTCCTACATTTAAAACGGATGACACCAACAGCCTGACAAAGGGTTTCGGCATGAAATGTCGACTCTGACGCAGTCCAACCTGCTGTGCTTTTCCAGCCTCACACCTGTAGACTCTGGCTTCCAGCATCTGCAGTCTTTATTATCACCACACCAACAACCTTCATTATGAGCAGAAGCTCATACACCAACATATAGTACCCACATTTAAAAAGCCCAAAATTCTATTTCCCTTTTTAACCACTTTTCACCTTGCACTGCCACCTTCCACAGCCATGTCCAGGTTTGTCTGTTTCTGCACCACCTTTAGAATTGTATTCTTTCTTCTATGCTGTCTCTTCTTGTACTTCTGTGCAAAATGTATCTTTTCATACTTTGTTGCTTTAAATTACACCTGCCACTGTCCATCAATTTCAGCAGCCTCTCGATGCCCTCTTGAAGTCTACCTTATCTGCCTCGTCATTCATTAAACTTCCAAGTTTTGTGACAAATTTTGGAATTGTTCCCTGTACACCTAAGTTCAATTCATTGACATTTACCAAGAAAAGCAATTGTCCTAGTGCTGACACCTGGGGAACGACTCTATTTACCATCCCAAAAAGTAATTGTTCACGACTACTGACTGTTTCCTGTCAGTTATTCAATGTCCTACCCATGAAGCTACTATCTCTTTTATTCCAGGGGCTTCAAACTTTTCAGACAAGTCTATTATGTAATACTTTGATAAAGTGGTCTGTTACCTGCTGTAATGTTTCAGCTATGTATGCCTCAATATGTACTTCAAAAAAAATCATTCTGTGTAGCTTATTTTCCTCAAGTTATCCGCTGATGTCTGAAAAAACTTTAAGCGATTTCTCAACTGACATTGGCAGGAAGTCAGACACAGATAATCATGTAGTTGTGAGCTGTTCAGAGAGGATGAGAGGATAGAAACAAGCATTATTGTGGTACAGTGGATGAAAGGGCTTGTTAGGAAGCAACAGATTGTTAGGAATTGAGCTCTTATTGTGAAAGAAAGCTGTTGTAAAATGTACCTTGGAGCATAATGAACAATCATAAGAAGCTATCAAAGTGCTTTAGGACTGTGTGGGTGGGATGGAGCTACTCATGTTATGCTTGGTGAATGCACTCCATTAAAGCAAGGTTGTGGGTGGGCACTTAACATGGCACAGCTAGTGAGACCACTTAATGTCTTGAGGCCCTGTAGCTACGACACAGTGCTGCTTCCTTTGATATACATTACTACCTTTTGTCATAAACCATCATTCACTCCTCTGGGCACCAGATGACCACGGTAACCACCTCCTCCAGATCTCTTAATTTAACTTTCCTACATTCCCATCTCACAAACAATACACCTCACTGCTCCCAAGATTGTTAGGTGACAGGGTCAATGGTTTCACTTTTATTTACTTTGATCACAACTGTAACAATTTTGTTTTTTTAAAGGGCACGTCTCTTCAAGCCCTTTGTACTTCTCCACAAGTCATGAGTGGAGCTTGTTTGTGGAATGAAATATATAAATGTGTTCAGCACTAAAATTGTACCAAATATGATCGTAACGGAAGTCCAGCATGAAAATTATATTGGGTTACAGGAGGCAGATGAGGAGGGCAACACTTCCTCCTCAGCTGAACTGATACAGAAACAATGGGCATGGTTAGATTCTAATCTCCAAACTCCAATTGTTATTCATGATTACGTTTCACAGGAAGATGGTGATGCCATGGTAATGTTACTGGGCTAGCAATCTGGAGGCTCAAACTAATACTTTGAGAACATGGACTCAGACATCACTATGGCCATTGGTAGAATTTAAATTCAATTAATAAAATAATACTTATTAATTATTACTTATTACGAATAATGGATGAAATGTGCTGATAATCAAGCGCCAAACTCCCACCAGTCACAACAATAATGTAAAATGTTGATTCACTTATCAAAATGACCAATTGTTTCTGTTTAATCCTACTGTCAAAATAAAAGACCCCTTTAAAGAACTCAAACTAATCAGTTTATTATAGACAAAACATGCCATGAAAGCAAGATTCAACTACTAATAAGCACCTAAACTGTAACCCAGAATAAAACTATATTCCCTTAATTTCACACACAACAAAAACACACAAGTTTCTATAGAAATTATGTTTTTTTTAAAAAAAAAGAAATAGGTGATAGAGGAAAACAACTCATGGACCAAAGATTTAGAAACAAATGACGTAATAGCTTCTCTCATCCATGTTGTTGATGAAGCTAAATTGTTGCCAGCAGTAGAATGATGATAAATGTCCAGTTCTGATTCTAATTAACTTGGATTTGAGTTGTTGAGAATTGGTCACAGTATGCCACTTCAGATTTTATCAGGTAAATACAAATGCAAGCGTTTGGAAAATCTTTTAATGTTCCCAAGGACTTCTTCGAAGAAACAGGATTTCAGGAGAGAGATTGCAGCTTCTGAGATGTCTTCTTTATCCTTTACAGCTGGGCCTGCAAAACAAAATTCTAAGACCAGAGACTATTGCTAGGCAATGTTTAGCATTGGTCCCGAGTAATCTCAAAGCCAGGTATTTTTTTCTGTAAAAATGGCAATAAGTGTCTTCTTTGATTGCCTTGGAAATGAAGCTTATCTACTTCTCCAAAGTATTGCAACAAACAGTAAGTGTCTTACAGCACACTTTAAACATTTGACTTCAGTAATTAGTAAGTAAGTGACAACTCACATTCTGTTGAACACAATTCCAAGAAATGACAAGATCCTTTCCAATCCAGAAAATGTCCAAATAATTTTCTCTTCCAGCTTCCTTCACATAGTCCTAAATGTATTCCCAAACATATAGGATTGAAAGCTGTTTTAAAAAAAGTGAACATTAGTAATTGTTGTTGAAATATACCTATCTAGTTCACTAATGTTGTATAGGGAAAGACATTTGCCATCCTTACCAATTCTGGCGTAAATGGGACTCCATCCCACAGCAATATGGCTGACTTTTGAAAAGCTAACAAATCACATGGCTTCAAGACAGTTAAGGATGCTTCAGCCCATTTGGTGTGGGTAGACCCACAATGCCGGTAGGGAGGGAGCTCCGGGGTTTTGACCCAGTGCTGGTGAAGGAACAGCAATATATTTCCAAGTCAGGATGGTGCGAGGCTTAGAGGGGATCATGCAACTGGTTGTTTTGTCATGTACCTGCTGCCTTTGCTCTTCTAGGGAGTAGTGGTCATGAGTTTGTAAGGGGCTGTCTAAAGAGTCTGAGAGAACTTATTTGGTGCATCTTGAAGATGGGACACACTGCTGCTACTGAGTGTCAGTGGTCGAGGGAGTGAATGTTAGTGCCAATCAAGTGGTCTACTTTGTCCTGGATGACGTCAAGTTTCTTGAATGTTGTTGAAGCTGCACTCATCCAGGCAAGTGGGCAGAATTCCATCACATTCTGACTTGTGCCTTGTAGATGGTGGACAGGTTTTTGGAAGTCAGGAAGTGAGTTATCACTGCAGAATTCCCAGACTCTGACCTGTCATTGTAGTTGCAGTATTTATATGGCTTAGCCAGCTCAGTTTATGGTCAATAAAGACTCCCAGCGAGTTGAAAGTGGAGAATTCAGTCATGGTGATGCCATTCAATGTCAAGTGGTCATGGTTTGATTCTCTCTTTTTGGATATCATCATTGGGCAAATGTTCTCCACTTGTCAACCCAAACTTGGCTATTGCCCAAGTCTTGCTACATTTGGCCATGAGTGCTTCAGTAGCTGAGGAGTTACGAATAGCGCCGAAGACACTATGTTTCATAATCAACAGTGTTATAACAAATGGCACCATTTCCTGTGAGAATAATCTATAAACTGTAACTATAATTTTTCACAAACTCGTGGGTTTCATATTATATAACATTTATAACAGCATTGATTTGAAGCAACGTTGTAACCATTTTAAAAGTATATAGCAATCAATCAAAATGTTTTTATGTTAAAGATCACAGTTGAGTTCTTCAGCGTTTATTTCAATTTAAATATGTTTGAAGATGTTTAGTTATGCTGTATGGGAGTGGGACAGTTTTCTGCTCATGCTTTGTATGACCTTCCTCAGACATATTCTAGAAATTGAAAGGTGCTCAGCTGTTACCATTTTCACAGAAAAAAATTGCATTCTGGACACTGAACAAGTAAACAGTAAGCAGCAAACATACACAAACTTACCTTTATATTAATGAGCAATGCACAGCTCCACATAACCCCAGGCAAGAAAGCTCTGACCCTGGCAGGCTATGCTTTCATCGGTCCTAATGATCTGGGTGCTCTTGCTGACATCCTCCTTTCTAGTTCCTTTTAGGACTCGCCGCTGGTTCTTCAAGTCATCTTCTCTACCAGGATACCTGAAGATGTTTATTAGTTTTCCATAGCTTGCCAGGCTGTTGATAATGATAGCCAAAGCATAATATTATGTGCATGTCAGTCCTACCCACTAGCTCACTGTGGCCATCTGCATGCCCTTTTTATTTGGGTTTATTGAATTTCTAAATGACTGCCTTTAAAAGGCAGGCATCAGATCAAACTGTGAAGAAATTGACCGCTACTGAGTCTCACACAAATACAGTTTTGGATTTGGAATAAGAAAAGACACTGTGAGCTGTCACACTAAAAGAGCTTATAGTGTGGGTGTCTTCGATGGAGCACTTCAAGACGTTTTGAAGTATGTATGCAAATTACACTGCAAATATTACAGTATGTTCCATGACGAACAAAATCATAAACCACAAAGACAAACTTTGCAAATGATACCCCTCATAAGATTACCACATGACAGGGACAAACTAGAACAATTCTTGTGTTGTGACCAACCCACTCATTGAAGCTGTATCGCACGGCCCACAATTACATGAGCCAAGGTCAGTTAGTCACAATAACTGAATTTATATTTGATAATATTTGACATACATGAAGTATTTGGTAGGTTTATAAGAATTTATTGTTACACTGCTAAGTAACTAAGCCCCCTCCTCAGCCAATATTGAGGAATATCACAAATATTCCCTTTGTGAAAATGCTAACTTAAAAACAAATTTATCTTAATCACTGGCAATGTGACACGAGGCATGCATTCATTCATAAGCAGTTTATTGAGGTAATGTGTGTTTCTTGCCAACTTGGGGTAGTGCACAGCAAATAATCTGTTTGGTTTCATGAGGGAAAGTCTTGAAAACCACCTTTTTATATTAAAATATTCAGTTTTAAATAAAAGGTTTCAAATCAAAATGAAATGACAGCCAGAAAGTTGAATTGCCGCACGCAAGCCTCGTGCACTTTACATACATACCACAATGGATATGCCTGAATGCAAAGGGTTTGGGTTTGGGAGTGGGGGAGAACCAGGAGAAACAATTAGTATCTTAAGTGAAAGCGTGAAGTTATGAAATGTTCATCTTTGCAAAAATGAGTTATTTTGAAAATATAGCTCTCGCTCCTATTTCCAGTGACAAGAATCAAGGGCTCCCTCTGGTGTGTGCCAGGCTGCTCAGACAGTCACACAGTACGTGTTTTAATAATCAATGATGTATGTCAGTAGCACGTGTCTCCAAGAGAATCATTTAAGAGATATCAATGAACAATTTGCAGAGGCAAGGAATATTTGCAAAGACTGAAGGGTTCCTTGTTTTTTTTGTTGCATGAATAGAAAGAGAAAAGTTATAAATATTGCATGTTGTTTTCATTTAACGACTTGAAATGTAATCTGTGATGGGAGTCTTGTGCTCCAATTCTAGTTCATCAATATCATGGAAGATGCTGAAAATCTGTGGCAATTCCATTAATCTACACATTCAGAAGTATTTGTCCGTCCTTGGACCTTTTGACATGTCCTGAAAGAGAGAAGCTACCAACTGACTCTTTCTAAGGAGGAAAACCAGCAGACGTAGTAATCACCTGCACAGGGGCTTCCACTTGTTCAGCTTAGTCAGATTGTAGACTGATAGCTCAAAAGAGAGGAAGAAAGTGGCCAAGTCCTTAAAGAAAGTGAACTCTCTTCTGTAAATACTTGAAGGAGACATTATTAGAGTGTGGAGGAGGAGGCAAAAGAGGAGACTCTGCATTTTAGTCCCATCCTAACACCCCTGGGGATGGGGGTCACATGCAGTAAGTGTATTTGGCTCCATGGAAAGGGGTAGGGAGAGTAGAAGTGCTGTTTGAAATACTGCTTCTTTTTACCCACCTACTTCAGACAAATTAAATACCCACTCATTTACCTCAGACTTTGGCAAGGTCAATGCTGGAGGGAAAAAGCTGACATAATTCCAGTTTTTATCACCTCCCACTGTTTTGTAGGTCATTATTCTTCTTGATAAGAGCTACCGTGGAATTTGTGGAAATATAATATAAATAATAATAAATATAAATATAATAATATAAATCTAAATAAGTATTGTATCAAACTTGAGTTAAAAGTAGTTTTATTGACACCCTGAGGGGTATGATTAAATGAATGTGAAGAATCAACAATTTATCACGAATAAGGCTACATAAATATTTCAGCTCATTCCCATGTAGTAATGGTCACGATCAGTTTGGCATTACAGGACTAAACAAAGTTTCTAGTTACCTGATATTCAGCTTCTGCTTTTTCTGATGGGTGACATGGCAATAATCTATGTAATCGTCTGGTCTTAGTCTCACCTTTCATGGAAGACTACGTCAACTTGACATAAAATGTTGATACAATAACTGGTTTCTCTTGGCTCAGTTATTGAGTACGACAGTTATTCTAGCATTACATGAATAAAATTTTGGGAGATTCACAATTAGCATCAGTGAATAATGCACCCTACTTACCTTGTTGGCATACCCAGTAAAGCAAACATCTGTAACTATTTTGACCCAAAAATATACTGCACAATTTTGCATGAATCACTATGGGATGGTTCAGGTGAGTGTAAATTATAAAATTAACAAGAAAGGATAAGTCAATAGTTGAGGGTAGAGGCATGTGGAATGGTGTAGGGTCAGTGTATGAAAAATAGTAAATAGAGATAATCAAATGCTCTTTATCTGAATGCATTGCAGCCTTTATGGCAAGAGATATGAATTTATAGCACAAATTGAAATAAATAGATATTATAACCATTGCAGAGAAATGGTTGCAATGTAAGCAATGCTAGGAAATGAACGAGGGTACTTGGTATTTCAGTAAGATAGAAAGAAAGGAAAAGGAGGTAGGATAGTTCTGTCATTAGAAGATGAGATCAGCGCAATGGGGAGAAGTAATTTTGTATCATAAGATCAAGACGTAGAATCAGCTTCAGGGAAATAGCAAGAGAAAAAGAATCACCCGTGTAGTTTATAGCTCCCCTGATAATGGCTATATTGTAAGGCAAAGTATAAATCAAGACATTAGGGCTTATAAGCAAAATACTGTAAGAGAACCTGGAGAATGAACTCAGAGTGTATTCATGTGAGTTTCTTAGAATAATACATTCTGATACCAAACAGGAAACAGACTTGTTTAGACATAGTAATGAATAATGTGACAGGGTTAATTAATGATCTCATAGTAAAAAGATTTTCTAGGCAAGAGTGATCATAAATGATAAAATTTCATAATTTTAACACAAATTGAATCTGAAAAGAGTGTCTTAAACTTAAATAATCAAAATTAAACAGGTATGAAGAGCAAATTAGACTGGAGAAATAGATACAATGGTAAAGAGACATTGGCATACTTTTAAGGAGATATTTCAGAATTCTTGACAAAGGTGTAATCCATTAAAGAAAGATGCCACACCCATGACTAATTAAAGTAGTTATGGAAAGTATCAAATTGAATGAAATGGTAGACAATTCTGCAAAGGCTTGTTGTACACCAGAGGATTGAGAAAACTTTTGAAACCAGCAATGGGTGGCTTTAAAAAAGGAGAAATTAGAATATTAAAGGAAATTACCATGAAATAATAATAGTATCAGAGATTCAAAAAGTAGGTAGGTACGGAGACCAAACTGCACAGAGTACTCCAGGCATGGTCTCAGCAAGGGCCTGTATACTGCAGTAAGACTTCCCTACTTCTGAACTCACACCCTCTTACAATGAAGGTCAGTATACCATTTGCCTTTCTACTTGCTTGCTGCACGAGCCTGTCTAGTTGACTTTTGTAAAAGACAATCAATGACATTAAGGAGTTGGAAACAGACTGCCTTAATAATTAAGAGATATGCAGTTGGAAGCTCATCATTGGATCAAATAAGAATTGTGTCAGTAACAGTACTTTGTGGTAAGGATTGAAGGCAATGACTTTGTGTATTTGGAGAGAACTTTGATTCTGCCTTTCTTGTGATACCTTTCACCACTGGTGCTCCGTGGCTGTAGTGTCTACCATTTACAAGGTGCAATCAGCAAATCACCAAGGCTTCTTCACCAGTACATTCCAAACCTGCAAACTCTACTGCCTGACAGAATAAGGGCAGCAGATGCAAGGGCACATCAACATCACTGAGTTCCCCTCCAAGTCCTGCCATTCTGACTTGGATATGTGTCCTTATTCCTTCAACATCACTTGGTCAAAATTCTGGAACTCCCTCCCAGACATTACTGTCATGTACCTTCATCACAGACTGCGGTGGAACACGCTCATCGTCGTCGTCTCAGGAACAACTAGTGATGGACAGTGATGGCTGACCTTGGCATGGTAACAGCAAACTCCATTAATGAACAAAATAAAAAACCTTGTTTAAAACTTAAAGTTTTGGTTTTCTCTGCTGGAAGGTCCAGCTGCCTCTAATGCAATGGTGGATGATTGACAAGGGTAGAAGGTAAACAGTGGTTTCAGTTTTCAATTCAATGCGAAGACTAGCTGCCTTGGAACCTTGGCAACAGCACTGTCCAGATTGCTGAGACAGATCAGGGACCACAAGGGTGCCTCAATCAGGAGGTTCACTTGGAAGTGTCATGAAAGCATGCATTCAAAGGTAAAATTATTCAGGCAGATGATGTTAGACTCTTCAAAGTAGAGTGTAGACAGCTCTGGATGGATCCCCTCTTTGCAACATGGAATTTTTGGCTGTGGTGGCCCCTTGTTCTGTTTTTGAGAAGCTGCCTCCACTTGTAGTTGGACACTGATCAGCTAGCATCAAAAATAAAATTGTATGATTGGGTTTGAGATTGGCTTAATTGGCTATCCATCTCTGTGGTCAGAGCAGCTAGCCCAGGCTCCTGTCCACCCCATGGTAAAAATGTTCAGCAATGGGCATGCTTTATTCTCAGCTCTCTTAGCCTCCCAGCCATCTATCATTGTGTGAGAAAATTTAGCTAGTGAGCATGTAAAACTCACATTCTAAGAAGTGAGGTGGTTGAAGAAAAAAGGAAATAAATACAATAGAAGTCACTTTAAGTGGGCACATATTTGATGAGGCAAATGTTCTGTTTCCTTAGTTGATTGTGAAATTAAGTCAAGCTAGTGTGATGTGTTGTCATGCAGTGGGTGGCTTCACAGAGATCCTGAAGTTAAATAGAGCCAGATCATTTGTTTGCAGCCAACAATTTAATCATGCAATTTCATTTTATTGCAATCTTGGCAAGGCAAGAGCAAGGATTGTGAATGGAAGCCAAACTATAACAGACAGCAGAGAAAATGCAGTGCAGTATTTACCTTATGTTACTGTCTAATATACCTTCTCAGGATCTTGGAGAACACACATATAGCAAGCTGGGAGTCTGCCAGACTAACCTAGTTGCATTGAAGCTCAAGACCAGGGACACTTTTTTATTAATGTTATTAAATCATAAATGTTTTATTTACCATTTCATTGTGCAGTATTGTTTGTGGTAGATGAAGTTATTAGCCCCTCCAAAATGGAAAAACAAACATGTGGGAGTATATTATTTATTCATTATTCTAGTGGGGGTAGTTAACTTGATGAATCGGTTTCAATTTACAGTGAGATTTTAAAGTCAGCAGCTGCTAATTGAAGTGATATTTATTACAAACCTCCGGGGAAGGTACAGGAAGTGGCTGATGTAGATCTTCCAACTGCCATTTTAGAAGTGCCTTGCGCAAACTGGAAGTGAACTCTTCAGCAAACATACTGATATCTCATTGCAACAGTGACCTCCTTCTTCAATAGCCTGGAGCAGGTTTATCCAGAAGGATTTAAAGCAGAATGTCAGCTTCAGGATCGCTGGCGGAAAATCTTCTTTTCCTGGGTGCGGCAAAATCCTCAATCGATTGGCAGAGAACATTGTTACAATTTTGCTATAGCCAGTGGTAAAAATAAATGTTTTGCTGCTTTTAAGGAATTTTGTTTGTATCATTCGTGCAACTCTGTAAGCAGAATGAGATGAGTGTGCTAGCGAATCATTCACTTTGCAACAAAGTAGCTGTTGCCCTGGTTTTCTGATTTGCTATTTAATTATCTAAACATTGAGGTTGTAATATAATCACTGGAACAGCACTGTGGAGCAACTGCACAATACACTGAGAACAATGTATAATAAAGGATAAATATTATAGCCCACATTAGGACTAAATTTAAAGCCTAAAATGGGTGGGTTTGGGTGTTGAGTCTGAAGTGTTAAAAATTTCAAATCTGAACTCAAGCCATTGTCAAATCCGTTCACTTCCATCATTATTATCAAGGGATGGGTAGTCAACATGCTCTCAGAAGGAGTATCTTTTATTTGCATATTGTAATTAGGCTGCCTGCTTCTAAGTTTGAACTTAATTTTAACTCCTTGTAAGTGAGATAAAACCTCACCCAACATCTGTGTTTCAACTGTAGAACTGGTCAGTCTGAGAAACCGAGCAGCTGAAGGGGCACGAAGATTACTTTTCTATCATTGCTTGTGAACCAGAAGGAGCAGGAGTGTTTCATTCACACACCCTCACCCAATCAATGCTGTTAGCTACACCAGCTATTGCACCACCCTCTGCAATCAAACCTTTCACCCTGCAAACTGGTCTCCTAGAATGTCCTCCAGGAACCTTGATTTTTGGCTGGCACTCACTACCCCATGATCACTTCCCTAGATATCCTCCCTCCTGCCAACCTGCATCTTCTCCTTGGCCTGTGAGCACCCCAGGTTCTCCTCCCCCACTGACGACTCCACAATCTTTCCCTCCAAACATTATTCATGCTCCTTGGGCCACCGGCCTGACAGCAAACTGTTTCTCTATTTGTAGTAGGAACTGCCGATGCTGGAGAATCTGAGATAACAAGGTGTAGAGCTGAATGAACACAGCAGGCCAAGCAGCATCAGAGGAGCAGGAAAGCTGATGTTTCGGGTCTGGTCCATGCTGCTTGCCTGCTGTGTTCATCCAGCTCTATACCTTGTTATCTCTGTTTCTTTATTTGGCTGCCTTTGATCAGGAAATGGAATCCAAAATGATAATCATGTCCTATCATAAAGTTCAGATAAGTAGAGAAAAACTCATAACAACATTGTAAAGTGCTTTCTTATTTGTCAGTTTCAAATGCCATTTGATTACACCATGAACCTACCTTTCCACTATTTTAGTTAATCGTTTGCATATTGTTATAATTTTCTGTTTTCCTCCACCTTCATAATTGTATTATGAAGCCTCAGTAAATCTCTGATAATTCTTTAGGTTCCAGATTATTGGAGTTCATCCTCCTGTATTAGTGAAGAATGCTACGTTTGTCACTCAATATTGGATTCAAAATATTCCATAGTATTGAAGAGAATTGTAATGTATTAATCAATATTGGCAATGGATAGTATCTGTCTGTCAGTATAGATACAGAACACAGACAACCATCAGGAGAGAGCACTGGATCTGTTATTTACTATTAGGGAAGACTTTTCCATTGTTCTGATCTGCTACTTAATGCTTAGAGAAGGGCAACTTATTATCTAAGTGAATATTTTTGCTTGACATCTCACCAAAAATGCTCATTCCAGCATTCTGACAAAGCCTAAGCCTATGCATGAGTTCATTATTTAAATTACTAAACACTTATTCCTTTATTATCTTATGAACTGCCATAACTTTCTTACTTCCACTCAGTTAAAAAACTAAAGGATCTGATCCTTTTGGGTCTTTAAATCATACACAGTGGATGATCCAACATTGTAAGCTTCACACAGTGCTTATAGTAATGAGCCTAGATCTAACATCTTCAATAATTCTATTGCTGTGTTGATAAGGCCTTGTTTATGCTTTGCTGCTCTCTTTGATGCTGTTTCAAACTCTTAAATGGTGAAATGTCAAGAACTGTGACAGGTATTAAATGCTGGAAATTTTTATTTGCTGCCTGCTCTTTAAAATGCATTTTCTGGGATCTCTCACCTTCGTCTGTTTGAAATCCCTTTTCAGCCTTTAAATCCCTTACTTGATGAAGGATGTAATTGCTTTGGAGAGAGTTCAGAGAATGTTCACTGGATTAATTTCCAGAGATGAAAGGCTTGTCTTATGAGGAGAGATTGACAGCGTTGGCCTTTATTTGCTAAATTTTAAAAGAATGAGAGAACATCCCCAGCTGTAAAATATTAAAGGGAATTGACAGAGTAGATGTAGAGAGAGTCTTTTCTCATGTGGAGCATTTTATAAAGAAAATTCATAGTTTTAGACTCAGGGGTGGAAGATTTAAAACAGAGATGGGGACAAATTTCTTCTCTCAAAGGGTCTTGAATCTGTGGAATTCACCGTCCCAGAGTGTGGTGAATGTTGGTACATTGACTAAATTTGTGGACACAGATTTTTAATTAGTACTAGGTTGAAAGGTTGTAGAGAGTGAGCAGAAAAGTGGTTTGGAGACCAAGATGAGATCAGCTATGATTGAAGTAAATGGCTAAGCAGGCTTGAAGGAGTTGAATTGCCTACTGCCACTCTTAGTTCATATGTTCTTACATGCTGGGAATGAGAACAGTTACATGAGAGGAACTTTGGTTTCTGTCCCTCAAACCACCTTTACAGCTGTTAAATGTCTAGAAATCTTCCATGCTGCACTGTAAAATGGGTCTTCTTTGGAAAATCTGAAACATTCCAAGATGCCAGAAACTGGAAGCACTGAGGGTTCTTTGGGAAACTGCACTGCAGGTACCAGAGCACAAAGATTGCCAGAGCAGGGCGTGCCAGATTAGCGAGGTATAACCTATATGGGTAGACACCCAATACCCAAGGATACGCAGTAGTATGTATCACACGATGGCAGCAAGCATATTGAACCACAATGACATTTGTATTTAAGTAATAGGGGATTACCAACTCTGATTGGACATATTTCAGAGGATGTCAGCAGAAGTGTCGTACTGAGAGTTTCTGGAAATAACTTCATGAAATGCAAGAGTGGGTGAAATGAGTTCCTCTGTTGCGGAAAACCAAGGAGAAGACATAATCTTAAAGTTAAAGCTATACCAAATAATTGCTATTCCACTGCAATCTGCTAATTTCATTGCGAAAATAAATTACCACAATTCATTGATTTAAAAGAGGGACAAATTTCAATTGCATATTTCATGCTAAAGTCTACTGCATTTCTTAATGTTGGTTCAATAAACATGGTAATTTAATACTAAATACTGTCATGAAAAACTTACATTTAATCGCTATGCAAATGATTGCCTCCCTGTGTATATATAGCTGTCAATTGATAATTGAATTCAAAGAATGCTGAATACTGGATGCAATAAAAGTGAAGAAAACATAAGGCTATTGAATGTTTCTGTTGAAACATTTTTTTCTGGTAGCTGCAGTGCTTAGCTATGCAGAGGTTTCATTGTTGGTGTTATTCATCCACAAACCTGAAATTTTAGTGCACCTTATTATGTCTTCAGGAGATCCCAAGTACTTCAAATCTAATCAGATACTTTTGATGTGCAATCACTATTATTATGTAGTTAAATTATTTGTGTTGGTAGAAATACCATATCAGATTGAATGAACACTTATTTCAGTGAAGACTGTTTACTTTTATGTCCAAAGTGCTCTTATACATAACTGAATTTTTTTTTTCCATCACCAAATCACCTGTGGTATTTTTCATCTATTGAGCACCACCAGTTAATCACCCATGTTTTCTAATTGTTTATTTTATATTGCAAAGCCCATTAAGGACAATGTGGACCACAAAAGGTAAGGGAGGGGGCTGAATCAAAATGGAGTCAGAAAGTGAAATAACCCACAGAGGCCAGTATCCCATCACCAAGTCATCCTTTACTTACATATGGAGAGTCCTTGACACTGATCCAACTCCCTCAGAGCTAGCTCTCAGAGTGAACAGGATGTCTGACTCTCCTGTTATAAATCTGTCAGCCAGGGCTCCCTGATTGGATCAGATTAACAGCCCCAATCAGAGAATTCATATTCTATGAGGTCCACCTTGACTGACCTCATTGTAACTACTACAAGAGGGATATTGCTTGTTAAATGCCTTATTGAACTGGGACTGTTCTCCTGATGAAGCAAGATGGCGGCAGAGGAGCAGGGCAGCTTGTGGGCTCCTTACCCGAGAGGTTGTCTACTCCATCTGCTTTTTACTTTAACAACGAGTTAACATTTCCAATCCAGTAAGACTCTTGAGTTCCAAAGAAGTTGCCAGACCAGCTGAATTTCACCAACACTTCCAGTTTGCATTTCAGATTTCCTGCATTTGCAGTAATTTGCTTTCATTTGACTGTTTGCCTCATTAAATTCCAGCTTTCTATTGTACCAAGCACACCAAACAAGCTAGACATTGTGCCAGTCAGATATGGAAATCAAAGCAGATACCTGGAGGACTCACCTTGCTTACTGCTCCAATGATATCCAAGTTGCATTTGATCAAGCAGTGATCTCTGGGTGCCAGGCCCATCCACTGCTCATCCACAGACACTGGCATCTGGCATTTGTCAGCCCTCGCCATCATGACACCTCTCCTGGAATAGTTACAGGCCACTCTGTCAGATCATGCAATCTCTATGGTGTAGAAGCAGGCCATTCAGCCCATCAAGTCCACACTGACCCTCCAAAGAGCATCCCCCCTATCCCTGCATTTCCCACCCTAGACACAACAGGCAATTTAGTACGGCCAATCCACCTAATCTGCACATCTTTGGACTGTGGGAGGAAACTGGAGCACCCGGAGGAAAAGAATGTGCAAACTACACATAGACGGTTGCCTGAGGCTGGAATCGAACCCGGATCCCTGGTGTTGTGAGGCAGCAGCGCTAACCACTGAGCCGCCCAGCTTTGCATTGCATGGCACATTTTAAATTAGCATTGGAAGGCTGTTGCAAGAACACTTTTTGTGCACAGACAGGCACTCAAATTGATGGTGGAACCAGACTGTATCTCCGGGCTGTTCGCCTGGCCTCTTAGTGACTGCTGACTTAGTACCTATCTGCTTGCACCATCCATGCTTTGCCTTGCCTTACTGTGCCAATTAGCACAGTCATACAAACAAGCTAGGTGAATGGGACTGCTGACTTCTGGGCACAAGACTTCTGTCAACAGGACATTTACCTTACAGTATAGCTCCTGCTATGCCAATTTCACACCTCTACCATGTGCCCCGGCAGCTTTCAGAGCGAACAAATACCTTCACGCCTGCTGCACATAAAATGTCTCGGGAGTGGGTCACAGTGAGTCCTGTGGCTCCATAATGTTCGGTCTGGGATATAGGGCTAACACAGCCAGCAGTCAGGGGTCTGAGCCATTGTCTTGACTGGGGGTCCCTCCACACAAACCGAGAGGAAAGATTGTGTGTTAGGGTAGGGGCAGGCTCTGGGCAAGAGTGGCAATGAGACTTGGCAAATTAGTCTTCACGATCAAGTGCTGGAGCCTCGAGCGAAGGAGGGCGACGAAGGGGAATAGTGTAAAGGGTAAACGAGAAGGTGTTCATGCAGCAGGAGGTGTGGTGGGAGGGGCTGATGTTACTCACTGTCAGGGCACCCTCACTTCACAAGGGAAGGGGCAATTTTTAGCACCTCATACAGCAGGGGCTGTGTCAGAAAGCCGTGCAGGTTTGGTGGGACTTGGGAAGGTGCGAAGCCTGTGGGATTTAAGGGCAGGCCTCCCAGGGAGGGCATTTGGGAATTCGAGGGCCCCCTGACATGTTGAAGTGGTGGCTGCAAGCCACTGACCGAGGAACACTCACTGTCACCTTCCATTGTACTGGAAAGTGAAAGGGATGCACTGGGGAACAAACTGGCAGTGACTACGCGAGTGGATGGAGTAAACAACTCCCACCCGGTGAAGGAGGGAGCTTTTCAAAGGAAAGAACCTTACACACCGACCAATGTACTGTACGCAACACAGACCCACAGGGTCTTTGTTCCCTGACACCCTAATGCATTGCCCCTCCCCCTCTGTGTGTTGCACCTCCCTGCCCCCAGACATTGCTGAGACTGGGAGAGAATGGGTCAGTTGTCCCAGGAGGATAGAAGTTGTCAGCATGACCTAATGCAGTGTGCACGTGCAGACTCTTATGCTTCCAAATGATGAAGCAGGCTGTTAGCACAGACCTCCATCCATCGAATCATTATCTGTGACAATGAAAGATGCCTGATGCTGCAATAGTGCCATTCCGGTTACACAGACAACCAGAAGTAAGGTGCAATCAGTCACATTGTACAAAAGTCCAAAAACACTTGCATTGCATTGTCACCCGTGCAACTTATGTTCCATTAATAGGTCTTCTTGCTGCTCTCCTTACCACACTATCTTACTGTATTCTCTTGTTATACAGCTGGAGAGGCTGCTTGGCAGTGAAAAGCCATTGGACTTGGAGGTTTTGTCAGGAGATCTGAGGGCATTTGTGTCTGGATGGGCCAGGCACGCTGAGAGTTTTGTTGTCAACTTCAAGTCGAGCTCCTTCAGCTTCAGCTTGCGAAGGTAGAAGTGGGGATGCGGCAGGAGGGCCAGTCCTTCTCCCAAATGTCCTGAGGGGTGAATTCTGAGGGACCTGTGTGTGTCTCCCCCTCCAACTGGGTCCCCCAGGGCACTGGCCTGTCTCCTTGTGAAGAAGGGGCACCTGGTGTGCTTGCCAACTTCCACAAATACACGCGATTCAGTCAATAGTTGGCACAAGACAGCTTTCAACAAACCATAATCTTTTCTCCCTACTTTCTTCATCCTACAACCAGTGACTGGGGCAATAGAGTGCGAGTGTGTTCACCTCTCCAGCAGACGCTGAGGGTAGCAACCACCAACCTGTCCTTGAGGCAGATTGACTCACTGCACTGTTGTAGCATCTAGGAAATGAAGACCACTGCGTCCTACATCCCTGTGTGCATCTAGTCTTCTGTTCGACTGCAGTAGATGGAATGAAATATCAGACACTGCATACAACTCACGACCAATCTGACAAGGGCGTATTGTCCCCTCCTTCCCGACGTAAATTTTCATCCCAAAACAAAACACTTGGAAAAGCTGCTGCAACTCTGCTCCAAAAAAAAAACCATACATTTCTGTGCAGTGTCAGCTGTTGTCAGAGTTTTGAATTTTCTTTTGCTGTTTTTCCTTTTCAGCGTCAACTTAGATCCTGGAATTGTGATTAAATGAGAGTGGCCTTTGTTCTATGGGTCCTTCAGTTTTAGATGCTGCTGGAGCTTTGACATTTTCCACTTGCTTGGCTGGTGATTCAGGGCGAGCAAAGTGGATTTATTCAACTGTCCTACACATATCTGTACTTGTGTGGATGTGTGTGAAAAATTGTGTGTATATCTGCACAGGCAAGGGCTGTTAAAGTCTGAAATAAATTTAAGTTTATCTTCTTGAATATTAAGCATTCTGGATGATTCTACCCAAGTGGCTCACCTTGTAATTTATGGTTTTTCATGACTGTTCCTGATTTTACTTCCTAATTTCTGTCCTGAAGGTAGTGACTCATGCTTTGAATTAGGTCGCAGATAGCCTTCAGAATCTCAACTGTAATAGTTGCTTTGTTTCTATCGGATAGCAACAAGAAACTGTTCGACAGTTACTGTAAGAGAAAACTGTGACTTCGGGCTGAATTTTCCTCAACAAATTGACGCATCGTTAATTTCATGGAGTTTCACAGAGAGTTTGTCTTCATGAGCTCCAGTCAGTCATCTCATGCAATTTCACCGTGCTCGCCTCATTAACGATACAGCACACCTCCGCAATGCCACGCTGACACAATCGCATACTCATCAGTAGCAGGAGCACTCATCGTCAGCCAGAGACGTCCACATCCCGTGTGTGAATCAAAAAACAAACTGCTGAGTTTCTCTCGCATTTTCTCTTTTAATTCCAGCAAAGTCACTGTTTGTTGTGTATGCTTAACAGACTTGCTCAGCACCGTTGGCAAGATGACAGGGGCATGAGGGCCTTGGCCTCATTCTAGGTGCCCTTTCCTCACAAAGAGACAGGATGGTGCCAGTAGAACCCAGCAGGGGGGAGGTACCACACACCCTGGCCTCCCAAAAGTCTGGAGGGTGCAAGTAATTGCTAGCCATGGAGTGTGCCTTGTGCGTTTTGGGAAGATGGCCAAGATGGATTGTCTTGGGAAGCTGCTGGTAAGTTGAAGTTGCCAGGGACCCACTCAGACTTCATGTCAGAAATTGTCACCATCTCGTTTCTATCCACTGCCTGAGAAAACAGCAACCTGAATATAACTGAGAAGTGATCAGGTTATAATGCGATATTAATGTGTGAAAAGGGGCCTACTCACAAACAATTTTCACAAAATTGAGAATCTGATTTTTCCATTCATGCTACATTTTCCCGGCTGCCTCACCATTACTCATGTCATTCAAGGCTCAGGAACTTTCATCCCCAAACCTGTGAAAATGTTGAATATACTAATTTATATTCAAGTAACAAGCTGATTGCCATAGTACTTGTGTAAAGTTATCAATGCTAAAACAGCCTTTTCTCGCAGCTCATTTGGTAGCAAGGATATAGAATTATTTCAATTCCATTTATCATCCGAAGCAATGTAGTACTTAATTATTAAGCACTTCTGATAGGAAGAAAAGAACGTCCAATTTAAGCATGCTGTCAAACAATGACTGTTCCCCTGTTCAGAGGATGATGGATGCCTGAGAATGTTTAGAACCTTATGTTGGAAAATTCAAGGGTGAAGACAAGGCCTTTAGGCCAATCAAACCTCACTCGTCTAATACAATAAATATCATCTCAGTGGGCAGTTCTATCCAAACAATGAAATGTGTTTTTCCTTTACTACTCTGTCTGGCAGTTTATTGCAAATATTTATCATTCTAGGGAATGATTACAGGTGGATAATCCAATTATGAGCTTCTG